TCCTTAATACAATGATACACAAATCTTTTGCGGGAAAAAAAGCTCAAGCTCATATTTCAACTGACACATGCCAGACGCACATAAAAGTGCAATGCAAAAGACAAAAACATGAAGGGTGATAAAAATCTTGCAGTCATTGGTAACTTAGGTTTATTCGAACTGAATAAAAAATAAAAATATTTGAACATACTAAGAGCATCTCCAATAATATCTAAAAAGCCACTTGGTAAATTAATGAGTTTTCCATGTGACCAAAAAATCAGGAGTATATTTGTTGGCTTTCTCCAACAATTTCTAAAATCTCGCTCCTAAAAGATAGGAAGTAATTTTGCATCAAGAACCCCAAATTATTTTTCAACCACTTTTATACTTTCTTTTTTTATTTGCATTAGAAACTCCGTCTACTCTTTATTCTTTCCCACGTTTTTCCACCTTCGGATTGGCTGATGGATATCCGCGCGATTAGGTCGATTTTCCGAAGTGCGGAAATATTGGGAGCTGAGATATGGAGTTCTTAGAGAGCAATTTTTTCAAGCTTACTAAAAATCAAGATTGGGAGTGAATATTGGAAACTTTTGGAGATGCTCTATGTATTATGTTAAAAAATAAACAAATGAGAGAAGAAAAAAAAGGTAATTTTGATTCGTTGTCGACCCAAATATATACCTACTAACTTTTAAGTTTTAACACTTGTGTCTTTTAATTAACTAGGTAGTGTGCCCGTGCGTTGCTACGGGACAGCTAAACTTTTATACTAAAACACACGGATCGCACGATAAGATAACAATACTGTGAAATTAATTACCGACGTTAAAACGACATTTAATCTAAAAATTTAATATTTTTCTAAGCACATAATTATTTGTATCACTAATGTATTCATGTCATTGTACATAATTATCATTTGCATTGTTATTTTGCTTGTCTCTATGCTCCATGCTCCCAGCCACCGCCGCTGCTCGGTCAACCCATGGCACAGGGAGCCGTGCCATGCCGCGACGTCCACATGCTACTGTTGATCTTCATATCCTTTTTACTATGGTCTTGTTAATAGTTCGAGAACCCTTTGCTGGGCCCATCAAAAGAGTTCTTGCCTTCATACTCAACAAATATTTCTACGAGCAACAATTGAAAGATCATTGAAGCCGAAGTCAAAGGAACATTAGGCAATTAAATATATAGATAAAACAAGAATGTCATTCATAAGTTCTGGAGTTCCCTGCAGCTTTCAAATACTTTCACATGCTTACTTTAGTCTAAGCTAAGATGCAATGAAAAGGATCGAGAACTCTTTTAAAGAAAAAATCGACAGCCCATTTACTACTGAGATCAAAGCAAGCCATTAACCTCAAAACAAATAACAAACGATCCAAAGCAACCTTTGTTATCAACAAGTACATTTGCACCCTGGAATATGACAAAATAAGCCACATCATTAGAAGCATTTGTGGACACGATTCGTATAACATGCAGAATTTTCTTGATTTATATCCCTATGTATGATTCCATTGTGATGCAAATATTCCCGTCCATACAAAAGTTGTTTAGTATATTTTCTGATGACCTGATAAAGAAATAAACTGAATCAAAAAATACTCTTCACTGGTCAACTCATCAAAGTAACAGTGCAAGCAGAATATGTAATGCTTAGAGCCTCGGGGAATGATAAAAGCCTCCCACGAAGTGAGTGGATGGAGCCTCCAGGAACAAATTGCAGCAGAATATTTAGTGCGTTTTCCTCCCGCACCATCCCAATATACCTCTGATCAAATAACACCGCATTGACCTAACACCACAGCCAAAAGAAAGGCTAACAATGCTAAGATGACAATGTGCTTACAACAATATTGGGGTGGGAGAGGTTCATAAGCATCTTCACTTCGTCCTCGAGCTCCCTTACATGTGCCTAGTCAAAAGACTCCCGTATAAGTATATTAGAGTGGAATAAATAGATAGATAGATAGATTGAATTTGAACAATTGAGTAAAATATAAAAGTCAAAGTATTTTTTCGCCCTGTTCGCTTGGCTTATAAGCCGTACTTTTTCAGCCAACGAACAATATTTTTCTCTCACAACAAATCAACCAATAGTACTTTCAGTCATGGCTTTTCAGCCAAGCGCAACAGGGCATTTGAGTGTAAAAGTACTCACCTGGGCTTGTCGCGTTGCTGCTTCCAATCATAACCTGCCATCAAGAAAACAATATGACATCCATCAAATCGCTCCAAAAGTTTCCTCGGTTCCAAGGTCCTAGCTTCGAGATGGAAGCATACCGACTTGCTTGACAGCGAGGAGCTCGCTAGAGTCGAGGTCCGTGCCGAGATACACCTGCCCAAATGTGCCACTCCCTATAATTTTACCCTTCCGCCACCGGATCGGCGGGTTCTCCTCTCCTTCGCTGCTTCCTTCTCCCCCTACCCTACCACATCCACCGGAGGCTGAGGACGCGCCGCCGCGGCCACGTGCAATATTAAATTTTGATAATGAAATTGTGAGGTTAAATTCAGATGCATATTGAAAAACTTTTGAGGCAGTAATTAAAAGACTACAGGCCTATCAAAGTTGTTGTGTGGAAAAACAATGACACAGTTTGCAGGTCCAATTCCCACAAGCGAACAGTCTTGTCTGTTGACGCTGACAATAGATGTGGCAAGGTAGCAAATTTCAATCATCGAAAAGAAAAGGACAAAAGAAAAAATTTGTAAACCTTATAAATGAGAGGGGAGCACTTCATTGGACATACCTTGTTAGACCATGATATGTTCAGTACATCACCAGAGTGACCACAGGATGAAGCAATGGTTCCTCAACATTGTTGGGATCACAACACAAGCAGAATCTGCGGATTGTTTCGTGCTCTTGACTTTGCATTTCATCTCATTTTCAGCATCAACATGAGCTAACAAGTGCACTAATTTACTCAAACATATAAAGGAATTGTTTTGAAGAAACATATTGTTAATAATTGACAATGACATAGCAGGAAGTAAATTACATCTAGAGCGTGATATTTTCTTTAGAAATTAATAATCAGCAAATAAATAATGAGACTTAATGCAAGTATATTGGCAACCAATCAGTTAACTGGAAACCTAAAATACTATAGTTTCCTAAATCGAGTGGCCTAAGCACAGGTTGGTTCAGAACTTGGCCATGGGACATTGTATCTGAAAATAATTTGATAGTTAAAGTATGTCCACAAAAAAAATTACTTGTTTTGACACAAACTCACGCTGCCACTTTCTAGAATCCTAGAAATCCTGCTATTTGGGAATGCCTCTCACCTTTTTGGGGCTTTGTGGACTGTTCCTCCATGACAACCACCATCTCCTCCATCTTAGGATCATTGCAGCTCTTAACCAAAACAGCTGAACCACATGGTTGCATCGAAGAATCACATTCAAGAAATAAGATCAATGACGAATTACAGAGCAAACAACGAACTTTTAAACTTTCATGATAACAGATAGAGTGCAAAAATAAATTTCACCTTCCTCACCCTCCTCCAGTTCCTCCTTTGTTGTCTCGTTCAAAAAAACTTGGCAACTTCCTCCTCCTCTGGGTTATCACATTTCACATCGAGGCAACAACTACATGATAACAAAACCAGCATCAAACATTGCCCTCATATAAGTTGAACAGTAGAACCAAAGAAATCAGAAGTGGAATCTTCTAACCTTTTAGTTCCTCTCGCTGCACCTTCTCCTCCTCCTTTGGGTTATCACATTTCACATCCTCCAGCATCAAAAAGTTGTTTGTTTGGTTGCCATTATAGATGATGATTTTGGTTAAAACTCCTGCAAGAAATGGTGAGGATACCTCCTACTATCTAATATCAAAAGCTCACATCACTACAACATCCAAATCAAAACAAAAATGATAATAAGCTAAACTAATATTATTACATCTTTATTTTTTTTCTCATCCTGGGTACCCATGACAACCTGAACAATCTCACCAGCCATCTCCTAGTATTACCAAGCATAATTAAAAAATCATCAAGCAATGAGATATGAACGGAATTAGGGAATAAAAAAAATGCTATATACAGGATTGCAGCACAAGAACATCCACTTGAAGAGCAATCCTTGCAAGCAATAGAACATCCACTTAGAGGAGCAATCCTTTCAAGCAATAGAACATGGAGCAAGTGGCAGCCCATGGTATAGGCATTCAAGCCTGTGGCGTTACCTTAGTCGACGGTAAACCTCTGCTTGCTACCCACACAGCCTCTTCGCGTGCAGAGGGAGAACGACGGCGGCCGCTTGATGGCGAGGACGCAGGTCGCGCGACGGCAAGGACGGAGCGAGACCATGGCGGGTGAGGGCAACGAAGGGAAGGCGGATGAGGACGACGGCAAGGATGGCGGAAGCGGGTGAGGGCGACGACGAGGGAGCCGCTCGACGGCGAGGACGGCGGCCGCTCGACGGCGAGGACGCAGGCGGATTGGCGAGAGACCACCCTCTCTGCGCGAGGACGCAGTGAGTCTTACTACTTTTGCTTTCTTTTTAGTTGGGATCCAGGAGGGTGATTTGCGGCTTTCCCTGGGATCCTTACCCCGGGAGGCGGTATCGCATCAGTACCGGTTGATTGATTGTTGCAGCGGTGGTGCTCTACTTTCTTTCTTTTTAGTTTTAGGAGATTTGCCCCTGCACCTCTCAGTACATTGAAGCCCACCACCAGCACCTCTCCACAAAACCCAACAGCACCAACTGTTCCCATGTCGCCCCAATAACGTAGAACCACTCGATCGGCCGTGGGGGACCCTGGCTAACTGGATTCATTGATGAACGAACCACGGCTACGAACGAAGTCCAGCCACACTGCCACGGCGAGCACTATATAACACGTGTTTGCGAGCACCGGCGGCAACACAGCCCAGACTGCTAAGCCTTCAACATCGAGTGTATTACCTCGGCCTCTCTTCTCTCTCGCGGCACGTACGTACGCAGGGATACAATACAAAGCCAGCTCGCAGCACCAGCAAAAATTGTGAGGCATGGGGAGTGTGCCAGAGGAGGAGAAGGCCCTGGGCTTCGGCGGCCTGGTGAGCGACCTGAGGGAGGTGTACGAGAGCGGCAGGACCCAGGACCTGGAGTGGCGGCAGTCGCAGCTCAGGGGTCTCGTCAGGCTCCTGGTGGAGAAGGAGGAGGAGATCTTCGACGCGCTCCACGAGGACCTGGGCAAGCACCGCGTCGAGGCCTTCAGAGACGAGGTTGGTTGGTTTCTTGCGTGTCTGAATACCCTCTCTGCGTTGTGTGTTCATTTGATAAACAAGCCCTCTCTGGTTGTTGTTATTCGCTCGTGTTCGATCAGGTTGGGGTTCTGAAGAAGTCCGTCGTCGACAAGCTGCAAAACCTCAAGAACTGGGCAGCTCCGGAGAAGGCAAGAAAGCTCTCTCTGGTTAATACTAATACGCAGGACCTTATGCCTGCATGTAGATCGACAAGCATGCTGTCAGTTTATCAGTATGGATTTCCTCAGGACCTTAGGCTGATGCATTTGGTCATGCCTTAACACTTGTGATTACAGGCTCACACGCCGCTCGTTGCCTTCCCGGCGACGGCGCTGGTGGTGCCGGAGCCGCTCGGGGTTGTGCTCATCTACTCATGCTGGAATCTCCCAATAGGTGAGGCCGCCGATGAACTCTTTGCTTTGCTTTACATTAGGCGTGCTTGCAGCGAACAATAAGATGATTAAATGTGCTTCTCTCTAGAAACTGGGAGAGATACTACTGATCTGACTGAATGACTCAGAACATTCATTAATATAAATCCCAATCTAGAAGAAAGTACGCTAGCTTCTTGCTTTTAACAACAAAATATATAGCTAGGGACTGAAAGGCAATTATATATATGTTGGTTAGACATCACATCATCGTATCAATTTCAAGTATAACTCGCTAAAACTGTTGATTGTGAGTGAGTCGCATTGGTGACCCGCAAGAAATGCATGACCGTGTGTGTGTCAAGTGTGTGGTGCAAAATTTGCCAACCTACACAACGCCACAAGTATAGCTTCATTACTTTTGCAACAATATCCTCAGTTACATCGAGTTGGACCCTAGTCAAAGTTATAGATACTTTCTCCTATCACAATTCATTAACAAATAAAGTTCACCTAGATTTGCTCGATCTAAGTCAAACTGATTACCTTTTGCTACCGATTTCTAGAATTTTACATACGACAACACAAAATTAATACTAGAATGTTTTTCCATTAACGCCTATTTAAGTGTCATATATCCATGATTGCGTCGTTTCAGTGGCTGTTCAAAATAATATAATGCTAGTGAGAGACAGTACGAATTGTAAGCACTTTCCTAGGTATAGGCTTTATGTATTACTACTCGACTCCATTGATTTTGATTGTGCAACTTAGATGTGTTTTATTAAACGTCTCTTTCCAAAATGCAACGTTGATTAAGAGCAGTACTGCACTCGCACTGCTGCACAGCATGAATTGGCCAAGAACCTAACAAAAAAGGTCCAACCCAAGGTCCAAATGATCGCTAGTACTACTACCCAACTACAGCCCACAAGCTAGCGTAATCATTGGTGCAGAGCTAGCCGTGTCTCGTGACTTAACCAACCTGTCTGATGGCGACAGTGCGTGTGCGTCGCCTTTGTGAATTGTGACAGGTAGATCTCGAACGTGTTCTCCTTGTCCTTTGGCTTGCTGATGGTTGGACTTTTAGGGCACGATCGGTGAAAGAAACTAAACCTGCAGGAACCGTTTGTTATCGCAACCGACTACTCGAAAACCAAATGTTGGTGCACCTGTGATTGAGAAGAACCGAAGTTGAGATCAAAAAAGAGGCGCGATTGATAACGAAATCATCATCTTCGCTCATGTTTCTGCTCGTTTCACGTGTGCAGGCCTAGCTCTGGAACCGCTCTCCGGAGCCCTGGCGGCCGGCAACGTTGTGGTGGTGAAGCCATCGGAGCTGGCGCCGTCCACCTCGGCGTTCCTCGCGGCCAACCTACCCAAGTTCCTGGACTCCAAGGCCGTGAAGGTCGTCGAGGGCGGGCCTGAGGTCGGGGACAAGCTCATGGACCACCCATGGGACAAGGTTCTCTTCACTGGTACGTAATCCACTACACGAGAGGCCTCTCTGCCTGCCTCTGAACAGATATGAACTACCACTACTTGCATGAGCGTATATCCGATCTGACGGCCCGTTACGTTTCCTGGCCTGGTGTTTGTTTGTTTCTCAGGCAGCAGCCGTGTTGGGCGCCTCATCATGACCAAGGCCGCCAAGCACCTCACCCCGGTGGCGCTTGAGCTCGGCTCCAAGTGCCCCTGCATCGTCGACTGGCTTGACAGCAACAGGGACAGCCAGGTAGCGGTGAATCGCATTATTGGAGCCAAATGGTCCACCTGCTCCGGCCAAGCCTGCATCGCCATCGACTACCTGCTGGTGGAGGAGGAATTTGCTCCGATTCTGGTCTGCCCCCAATAGCCTCCGATGTGCATATCATATATATGACATCTTCTGCTCTAGTATGTTACCGCATCTGATCTGACAACGACGCTTGTTTGTTCCCCTGATGAATGAAGATCGAGATGCTCAAGTCGACGCTGGAGAGGTTCTTCACCAGGCCAGAGTACATGGCGCGCATTCTGAACGAGAAGCATTTCCAGAGGCTGAGTGGCTTCCTGGCCGACCGCAGGGTGGCGTCCTCCGTGGTCCATGGCGGACACTTCAACCCCAAGACGCTGTAAGGCACCCACCCAACGCAAAGCAGTGTAGTGTTACCGCAGAAACCGGCCGGCGCCCCTCTGCTTGACGTTGACGCCATGTCATGTTCCCGATTGTGTTGTGCAGGAGCATCGAGCCCACGCTTGTGCTGAATCCCCCGCTGGACTCTGACATCATGACGGAGGAGATATTCGGCCCGCTGCTCCCGATCATCACGGTGCGCATGAGCGTTCTAGCTGACGCTTTATTCCCTGGCTGAATCTGAATGGAGTAGATAGTACCTCTGCTGAACGAACAGCCAGCCAATGCATCATCTGTTTTCTCCAGGTGAAGAAGATCGAGGACAGCATCAAGTTCCTCAAGTCGAAGCCGAAGCCGCTGGCGATCTACGCCTTCACCAGGAACGAGAAGCTGAAGCAGCGGATCATCGACGAGACGTCGTCGGGGAGCGTAACGTTCAACGACGCCATCGTGCAGGTGCGCAACACTAATCACTCGCTCCCGCCCGTGACTGACACTGACCTGCACCTTCTTCTTCTACTACTGAATTCAATGCACGACGTTTCTCCTGCAAAATTTTGCTTGCAGTATGGCCTGGACAGCATCCCGTTCGGTGGCGTGGGGTTCGGGCAGTACCACGGTAAGTACTCGTTTGAGATGTTCAGCCACAAGAAGGCGGTGCTCAAGAGGAGCTTCCTCATCGAGTTCATGTTCCGGTACCCGCCGTGGGACGAGATCAAGATCGGGATGCTCAGGCGCGTCTACCAATTCGACTACGTCTCGCTCTTCCTCGCGATAATCGGCCTAAGGAGATAAAGCAGCCGGCGCCGGCCGGAGAGGAAGAGGCCGGCGGTGATGAGTGAATAATAGAGCAAAAAGAATTTGCCCCTACAGTTGCTAATGGTCAAGTGTGAGCAGCAACGGTTAAGGATTCTCTTATACTGATCGATGAATATGAATATGTAAAAGTCCCATCTGTACAACAAAGCGTCTATACTGTTGTTTTATACGTGTCTGTCAATTTATTGGACCAGAAGATTTAAGAATAATGGATTATCATTTTAGTTTGTGCTTTTCTTGAACAACAGCCACATTGCAACCCTCATCCCTTTTTCAAAAAAGAAAAAAAGAAACCCACTCAGGCTAGGCTATGTCAATGCAAAATATTGTACTAAGCATTAAGGATGTGGTTTGAAACCTGGCCTAGGAGGTGCTGGCCATGCACGTCGATCCAACCCCAGACATCCAAAATTGGACACGAGGTCCCAAAGCAAACAAGCCCTCATCGTTTATCTCGATTAGACCCAAGCACATCCACAATCGGACACCAGGTCCGAAAGCAAACAAGCCCTCATTGCTTATCTTGATTAGACCCTAGGAAAGCTGCCTGGCTAGGCATCCAATGCGTCCAATTTTGACAACCTGTATTGTTGTCAACAACCAAACAACATATAAATGACTGTCACTTATTCCCTTCAATTCCTTAATTATTGTTCTTTGGACAAGGTTGAGGTAAAACTTTTAAACTTTGAGTATCCATAACATTTAAAATATTTCTGAAGACATTAAGAAAACATGTGACAATTAGTAGTTTTTTAAAAAAGACTTCAATAAAATTACACATTTGTTGATTTTTCTATAATATTGTAATAGAAATAACAGTCGAAGTTATGTTGGGGAGGTTGTGTCACTGTTTGAAACAACAAAGATTCTGAAAGTGGAGAGTTGTTCTTTTTATGACTTGGCATGGAATTAAAGAAAAGAGATGAGAACAGTACCCACCTATGGTTTTAGATAGAGTGACGTGGTACAATGCACCGGGAAAAGTCTAGGGAGGGCCGAAACAAGGTAAAAGGTACTCCCTCCATTTCAAATTAAAGTTGTTTTGGCTTTTCTAAGTCCATAACTTTAGCTACGGATCTAGATATATGCTATGTCTAAGATACATATAAAATATTATGTACCTATAAACAGTGGCGAATCTAGGACAAAATCCTAGGGGGGCTGAACAAGCTGTTGTGCTGGGCGCTGGCTACTACCGTGCTGCGCTGCTGCTTGCTGGTGCGGGCGTTGTGCTGCGCTGCTGCTCCATGGGCGCGGCCGCGGTAGGGGGGGGGGGGCTCGAGCCCCCCCAGCCCCGGTGGCACTGCCTATAAAAGCGAAAACGACTTATAAATTGGAATGGAGATAGCAATAAAGTCATCGGAAGTTCAGGAATGTTGCTGAGGATACCCTAGTTCAGATATACAAGTATACAACTAGCAGTTCATTGACCTACCTATACTAATTTCAATAATGAACAAGGTAAACCAACCAAATTCCATTCATAAAACATAGATGGGTAAGTAGAAACATATATGCAATTGAAGAGATCACACAAATCCAGCAGTACAGATGGTTGTCACAACACTACCATGCTCACACATTCTGTTCAGCCCTAAACAGAAGAGAACACCCCTCCCATACATATACTCACGTATTCTTGGCAGTCCAATCTTGTCCAGCGATCCATCATTGTGACTGACTCTTCCCAAGAAGTTTCTCCAGCTGTCCATTTGAAAGTGCATTTACTGTATCTGCAATTATATAGCAAAATGTTGACTGTTGGTATCAACCAAGGTAGAAGTATGCTAATATGCTTAAATAGTTACATGGAAACAACAGTGCAACTGACAGGTTTAAGAGCGCTCAAGGTTTAAACACTAACCGTCCGCGCCACCAACATGCTGGCCATTGACAAACACCTGTGGCACAGTATGCCGCCCAACTAGGTCCAGGAGAACACTTTGAATGTCACGCCCATCCTCTGTATGGCATGTGTATATTATTAGGCTTTGTAATTCTTGCAGACAAACCCCCCAAAACATGTGATTGCATTGAAGTTGCATACGAATCAAGGTTCAAGGATGATTACCTCGGGTATCTAGTTCAACAACATACGGATCTTCCTTGAGATCTCGAAATATGCGCTTAGCACGCATGGAGTGGCTATGAGAAAGAGAGCAAAGGAGCATTTAGTAACAAAAGTCGCCACTACAAGTACTTCATACTGGGAAAATAACCAGACCATGAAAAGAAGTGTTTTGTTTTCTTTTCAAATTGTTATTTAGGTACAAGTCCAGGACTTCACTTCACCTGGCATCCAAATCATCACATTATCTGATAACCTTAGTACCTTACTAGAGCTTAAAGCATTAGAGTAATTGTCCATTCTGTGCTTGTGTAGCAGTACCATTTTTCATGAATACGCAAGAGAGCCATGTATCTTTGCATTAAGTCTATAGCAGTAACCCAAGTGACAAGAGACAGATTAATATCCAAGCAAGACATGATGCGAGAAATGAAAAGGGAGAACCCTTGATGTAAGTAAAATGCTTCTCTGATAAAGCAACAGCAACCATAATGTTATTTTGTCAGCGCACACTGGATTTCAAGGAAATGGAAAGAACAGCCAGCTCATAACCATAATGGAATGTTTATTTCCTCCTCCTAAACTTTAGTCGTTGTCCCATCGGATGTTTGGACACATGCATGGAGTATTAAATATAGACTAATTACGAAACTAAATGCACAGATTGAAACTGTTTTGCGAGATGAATTTTTTAAGCCTCATTAGTCCATGATTTGACAGTGTGGTGCTACAGTAAGCATGTGCTAATGACGGATTAATTAGGCTTAATAAATTCGTCTCGCGGATTACTGAGAACTGATGTAATTTGTTTTATTATTACTATCCGAACACTCGATGTGACAACCCATGTGACACCTCTAAACTTTAATCTCTGGATTTAAACACCTATGAATGGCCAATGAAAACACGGTAGGCAGGGAAGGTGAGGGCATATTGAGGGGGGATTCTCACTGTTCTCTGATTCAACAGGGGTGAGTTTTGAGAAGGTCCTTAAGCTGGATTTTCACAAATAAATGCTTAGAATTATAACTACAAGGACACTACAGATATACCTGCTCAGCCCGTGTTTAGTTGGCGAATTTTGGAATTTGGGCTACTGTAGTACTTTCGTTTTTATTTGGCAATTAGTGTTCAATCATGGACTAATTAGGCTCAAAACGTTCGTCTCGCGATTTTCCACCAAACTGTGCAATTAGTTTTTTTTTCGTCTACATTTAATGCTCCATACATGTATCGAAAGATTCGATGTGATGACTACTGTAGTACTTTTTAGGATTTTGGGTTTGAAACTAAACGCGGCCTCAATATACACAATGCTTGTTGTACGATGCCTACTGTACTTCTGGCCACAGAATCAGAAACCAAGGCCCAAGCTTATAAATTCAAACTCATCTATGGCCACTGTCATGGATACTAAGTCAGAAACAAACAACACTAAAACAACTTCACATGCTACTACTATGGTGTGCGTGTCTAGGTATAACCATACAACAAGTCAGTTCAAATCCAAATCGTCACTCTGCAAGTAACAGGCCAACTGGCTCCAGGTCAGCTAAAGACAGTTGGGCTTGTTAGGTCTGTGAACAAAATAGTTCCCCCACATGAAACAATAGTATACACTGTATAATTCACATGAGGTGCTGATCCACAACAGTATGATCTGAAGTTCTGAACCTATAGCCTATGGCCTATTTTACTTGTAATAGAGTGTAGACCAGCATCTTATGCCATAAACTAGAGCAGAACAAAGCAATCGTCACGGTGTTATACTGTTATTAAGATTCACCGCACCAGACCCATGTTTCATCAAAACATGAAACAGTTAATGGGTTCCATTTTTCAATTTTAGCAGCTAAGCCGCTCGATTTGCACCGCAGGAACCACATCCACAATACCACTGAACGAAACCCAACCAATTCTCCACTTCCTGGTGCTCAATTGCACGGGAAATGTCCTAATTCGCACCCAACCATCTGCAAAATCCATCCAATTCACGATACAAACCAAGCCTTCGCCAAGCAAAACAGCTGCTAGACTGGGAACTTGATGGGACCTTAACTACGCGCTTAGTTACACTCGGCTGCCCCTGCCGCCGTGGACCCCGAAGATCTCCCAGATTTCCAGGCTGAAAGCGAGCAAAGCAGAGAGAGCGGTATGCCGAAGCGGTTGGTGTTTGAGTGGTAGGACTTACGGGCAGTAGGTCTTGGAGAAGATGGTGATGCGGTTGGAGTAGATGGCGTTCTGTACGAAAGCCGACGGCGACCGCGTCGCCGCCGCGAACTCCGCCGCGGCGAGGAGGAAGAAGACGAGAAATGCCAATCTGACCAGAGCCATGACCCTCGATGGATCGACCCGAGCCGTTCGGTCCTTTCCTCTCTCGTCTTTTTCCAGGATGGCCGAAGCCTGATCGCTGGGATGGGGCTGGCTGGCCAGCCCCCTCACATGGCTATTATTTACGTAAATCAGTTAGTAATATTTTTCTCTCACATAAACGAACCAGCAACGATACGAACCAGACAAGCGAACAGATGCAGCGTTAGCCCATTGGGCTTTTGTATTTCGTGTAGCTTGGGGAATGAAATTTGCTCGGCTTTGGGCCCATCACATGTATGATGCAACTCTCAACGTTTTGTTTTATACAGTTGGAGAATGAAATCAACTTTAAAGTTTCAAAGGAGAGCAAATAGTCTACTTCGGCTCCTTCAAAAGAAAGTCTATTTTGGTAATGGTGTGAAGAAACCAAATGCTATCTCTTGTGGGAGAGGTTCATATGATTGAATTGACTGCACGAATTCATCTTATTAATTGCACTATGCTTAAGGGGAAAATATGCACCGTTTTTCCTTTTCATTTTTTATTCAAACTGATTTAGTTTTACCAACTCTGTGAACATCATCAATGTGCACTACACCACCCACCTGGTAGTCACATTTTAGATCTTGTTTCTTGTATGGAGTTCATATGAACACATTTTCTCTAGGAGAAATGCATATGAAACGTATGATGGTGTGATGTGTGAACATAAACCGCCGCTAGCTAGCCCGCCAATGTCTAGGACGTGCTCGACATAGTATTAATTGCTCGCGGCATTCCTCAACTTTGGTTGACAAGTTCGCAGTTCGCACCAAACTCCAATCAAAATCGACCCACCGGCCGGAATTCCACGGAACGTTGAAGAATTCCAGAAATTGCGGCTTCTACACGTGCTTCTTGGGTAAAGGATGGAAAAATAAGACTATTGCAGATCGAGATGATAGACAGCGATAGGCTTTGAAGAGGCGCTGAGGTACATTCATTCTCTAGCGCCCCACAAAAAAAAGCGCAAACGCTCCCAAGCGTACACTGATCATCATCATTCCACGTGAACGAGGACGCCCAGGAGCGAAAAAAAAAATTGCACTCGATCTTGGCAATTGAGCACGATCGAAACAACCTCAATTACAGTAGTCAACGAGTAGCGGTAGTAGTGATAATGCACCAGCCGAGGCATAATTAATAATAATACAGACGGCTCGATCGGCGACTCTGACACGGCCGTCTTGTTCACCAGTAAGAATACGAGGATGCCGCGGACGTGGCTCGGGATCTCTTGCTGCCGGCGCCGGCCACGGCCACCTCCGTGCTGTTGTACATCACCATCTGCGGCACCCACTGCTCCCGGCTGCCCCTTGCGCCGCCGCCGCCGCCGGAGAAGAGCTGCTCCGGCGCCATCCACGCGGAGTAGCCGCCGTCCTGCAGGCCGCCGATCCGAGCTAGCCCTCCCTGCTCAAACGCAGCGGGAACCAGGTTAATTAATCATCACACATTTTCAAAGGCATGCAGCCCGTGAAGTGGAACGAAGCAGATAGCGGTAGATTTGCTCTTTGTACAAACTGGTCTATTCTACTACTTTGATTACAATATTATATTTCTAGGCTCAGGGCGCCGTGGCTAAACTGGCCCCGCGAGATTATTAAATAAATAAAGTTGTTCCTGGACCAGAGAGAGCATAGCTAGTTAGCTTAGCTACAAAACCGTACAGCGCGCCCATAATGGATGGTTACTGGTTGGATTGGATTGGAAGCAGCGCACTAATGCCGACGCCGACGTGCTCGATCGGGATATGCTGCCATGCTTTGCGTGTGCTTGCTTGCTCACGAACGGTGTCAAGAGAATGGATCGCTAGCTAAACATTTACTGCACGCGCGCCAATGGCCAAACGGAAGAGTAGTGTAGTACGTCTGCGGAGGAGACGCCGATGTTAGTCGCGGCGGCGGCGGCGGCGGCGGCCTCGTCCACCAGGAAGTCCTCGACGTGCCACCCGGGCAGCGTCTTGATCAGGTACTCGGAGATGCTGCTGCTGTTATCGCTCCCGCTCCCGTGGCTGGTGGCGGGCGCCGACGACGGAGGAGCGGCGGCCGCGTCGCCGCCGGCGCTGCAGCAGAAGCTGCCGCTGCCGCTGCTGTTCTCGTCCTCTGACGGCGGCGCCGGGCACGCGGCGGGCTCGGCGGAGAGGCGCACGCCCGTGAGCAGGAACCGGGTGTGGCGCATGGTCAGCTCGCTGGCCGTGTGCACCGACACGTCGCAGTCGCGGCACAGGATGGCGCGGTCCTCCTTGCAGAACAGGAGCCCCCGCTTCTCCTGCGTGACATGTATAGACAGCGCCGCGAAATCGATCAGCTTCCTTCGGCGGTCGCATGCAGTTAAACAAACAAAACCCCCCGTCCAATCCAAAGATTTTTGCATGGGCGTCGTCGATCGAACCTGGCAGATGTCGCAGAGCGGAGGCGGCGCCTGCTGCGCCGACGACCCCGATGATGAGGACGGCGGCGCCGGGTTGAGCAGCGAGAACCGGCGGTGCTTGCCGGCGAGCTTGTTGGCGCGGTGCACGCGGCGGTCGCACGAGTCGCACAGCGCGGCCTCGTCGGCGCAGCAGAACACCGACGCCGCCTCGGCCGCGCACACGTCGCACTGCACCTTCATCTTGCCCGCAGCGATCGCGCGCGCTCTCTGTCTCTGTCTCTCCGGCCAACGGGAGGCGGCTCAGCTCAGGGCTTGATGAGCTCAGGTCAATCGCTATGGATGCGCTGGAGGAAAGCGAAGCTAACTGTAGCAACCGCGCGGAGGATGGAGGATGGTACTAGTGTTAGTCCTAGCTAGACCGGGCTTGGCTGAGCGCGGAAAGATATGTGGGGGCTATTGCACTTTTATATGCCGCGACGCGACGAGATCGCACGAGCTAGGCGATTTGTGGTTTTTTTTTTGATGGAATAGGCGATTTGTGGTTAAGCTTAAGCACGAGCGATTAGGTGCCGTTGTTGCTTGTAAAGCGAGGTGGCTGAAGGGGATCCGCATTGAAACATGGCCAGGTCAAGGCCGGGAGATCAGACGACGGAGAGGCGGGAGGCCTCTGCACAGCATCTCAGCGCATCTGCATGGAGGGTTCCAGCCGTCGGCGACTGTGCCGACCTGACGTGTTAGGTCCGGTGTTACATCCGGGCCATCTCAGGCCTCCTTGTCCATGTGTGTCGTCCCTGCTTTTGCGTGTCCCGGGTTTGGCATAATTTCGTGACGGCTTTGGCGGTACGGACACGGACTTTTATAAAGTGCAATGTCCACTAGGAGTGGTACATACAGAGGGAAGGATCGGAACACCATCGTCTGCGGCTGTACCGTCACGCCTATTTCTTGATGGTATTATGTTAGGCCCTTTTAGTTTCAAAAAAAATTTACCCCAAAGTGTCACGTCAAATCTTACGGCACATGCACGGAGTACTAAATGTAGACGAAAAATAAAATTAATTGCACAGTTGGGTGAGAAATCGTGAGGCGAAACTTTCAAACCTAATTACTCCATAATTAGACAATAATTATCAAATACAAACGAAAATACTACGGTAGCTAAAACCAAAAAATTTCACCAAACTAAACGCGCCCTTACTATTCGTGTATAGTCTACTAGGAGTGCAAAATAGCATAGGCTAGCTAGCTGGTGTCCTCACAGGATAGATAATCATGGAAGTGAGATTCTGGTAATCTGGAACAGGGTTATGGTATTATGGCTGGTCAATGGAAGTGCATCGTATATTCACCTTTTTAGATTAACACAAGTAAGGCCCTGTTTGATTTCAAGCTCCTAAAATTTTTAGGAGTTAAAAGTTTTAGAGCTTTTATAAGGTTGCTAAAATCTCCTAAAAGAGTATTTGGTTTTATCTCATAAAACTAACTAAAAACAATAAATGTACTAGTAAATAGATCATGTAACCCTCCTCTAGGGGGGGAGAGAGAGGGGGCAGGGCAATAAAGGGGTAGTAGGGGTCTATGATGGATTTTAGGAGCTTTTAGAAGGGGTGGAGCTCTTAAAGTTTTTGGCCCCTCCTAAAGTTTTTAGAAGCTTTTAGAAGAAAGTGTTGAATTCTCTAGGCAAATTCTATCAAGATTTTAGCTTAAAACTTTTAGAAGGGGTAACAAACAGGGCCTAAATCGCTCAATTCAAGGTTCTAATAAGTAGTGGGCTAAACAATTTATTTAGCGGTGGTCTCCTATGAGACTTATAAAAAAACTATAGTAGGATAGAGCAACATCTATTTATTTAGTAGTTTTGCATAAATGTATGGAACTAAGAACATTTCATAAATACAAATACTAAAATACATCTCCACGATTCTTAGGATGGACGGTACCACCCCCCTAAACGGATTTGACATATACGAAGTGAGCGAGCTAGTTATCGGTGCAGCTGCTACTAGTTTCATGGACTTATTTTAGTATTTGACAATTTAACAATACAATTCTTCCGTGGTAGGCTACCGTATCTGTATCTGCTGATAGCGAAGCGCATGTAGTGATTTATAAATCTTGAAATGTACCGACTTAGTATTTCAGAGGTTTGCTCATAGTAGGGTAGGATATGTGTTTGTTCATATGAGTGTGTGCATGTATATAAGCGTCTACGGCTGCACTATGATTCACAGTAAAAAGAGCGTCATCATATAATAATAATAATACCGCTCAATAAGGTCTTGTTTAGTTCAAAAACTTTTCTCAAAAAGTGCTACAGTAGCCATCACATCGAATCTTGCGATACGGGCATGGAGCATTAAATGTAGACGAAAAAAAACTAATTGCACAGTTTGGTTGGAAACTGCGAGACGAACGTTTTGAGCCTAATTAGTCCATGATTGAACACTAATTACCAAATAAAAACAAAATGTGCTACAGTAGCCCAATTTCTAAAATTTGGCCACCTAAACCAGGCCTAATATAGTCGATCGTATTCTACCCACAGCCCCCGCGTCGTCCTCATCGGGGCGGCTCGGGCGGCACCAGGCTGCTCCGCTGCCGAGCCCCCTCCCCAAGCCTATCTGCCCTGACGCTGCCGGAGCCCAACGCCGGAGTCCGGCGAACGACAAGGATGGCGGCGGTAGGGAGTCTTTTTCCTCCCTCTCGCAGTTGGAAGCACCTGGAGCGTGATGTGCGTGAGGTGGCGGCCGGCAACGCAGATCCGGCTTTCCTTAGCCCGATCTGCTGCCCTTGCGCATGGAGCTGTCCACCGGTGGCCGGCGGTGGCTGCTCACTTGGGCGAAGGTGGAGGCGCGCGAGGCGACGCCCGCTTGGGCGAAGGTGTAGGCGCGTGAGGCGGCGATCGGCAACGTAGTTCCGGCCTTGGTGCTGCTGGATCCGGCGTTCCCTTGTGCGGATCTGCGGGCCCTGGGCTTGGAGTTGCCCATCGCCCATCGCTTATGGCGGGCGGTCGGTGGCGTCTGCGCGCGCGGTGGCTGTGGTGGGGAAGAAGGGCCACCACGATCTGACAAAGACTCGCGACGCGAACGGTGCGGTCTTGGCGGGCGAGGCGGGCGATGATGGCGGCGCGGTTTCAGGCGCCATGGTGGCGTGGCTGGCCCAGGCTTGGCTGGGTGTGCTCCAACGGCGCAATGGTGGCGCGGGCTGGCGCCGCCCTGGCGATGGCTCGCCCACGGTGCCGTGGTGGCGCAGCTGGCGATGCCAGGCCGAGGTGGGGGCTGTGTGCACAAGTGCGGAGGCTCGCGGATGGCGAGTGCCGCATGGATGCGTCGAGAACGGCGTGGAGGCGGAAGCAGCGCAGGAATGCAAGCGGTGGTGGTCAAGTCATGGATTTAGGTGCAAGTGTCAACTACGGTGGAAGGTGGCTGAGGGCATTCGCACGGTGATTCGGGGCTTGACTTCTATGTGGCCTTGTTGGGCGACGGTTTCAATCGTGTGCCGTGAGTGTCCCGAAGTTGGCAAGGAGGCCGGCGCGGGAAGTTGGGCCAGTAGAAGTTTAATGTCCGATGATTTGTGTGGTGTCTGATGGCAGCTAGAGGCCCTGCTTAACTTTTCTGCTATCTTGATGAAGCGGCTTGGTTGCTAAGGGCGGCGGGCGGCTTGGCGACGACCAGAGGCATTGTTTGTGCTTTCGGCTGGGCAGCTTGTAGCGGACTGCAGTGGCTAGCCTTGCACGGCAAGGGTTTGTCCAGTGCGAGATAGCGGCGACAGGCGGTGCAAGCGAAGGCGATGGCAGGACGGCTACATGGCTTGCAGCGGATCATGGCGGTTAGCCCTGCATGGCAACGGTTGACTCGGTGTGGTAATCGTCGGTTAACGACGGCGCAGGCGGTGACGATGGTGTATCTTCATGTCGCTTTGTCGCCCTTTATTGCTGTTGCGTCATGGCGGCCAGTTGTGGTTTTTAGTGGTGTTGCTCGGCGCGTGTTGATGTCTCAATCCAACCGGCCATTGTCGATAGTTGAGTTAGTTGCTTCTGCTGTTTTTTAGGTTTCGTTGCTTCATTGGTTGTTGTTGTTGTAGCTCTGTTGTATTGTTCGGTCTGGATTCTTCTTCTTTTTAATATAATCGGCAGCTCTCCTGCTGATTCGTTTCGAAAAAAATATCGATGATCACCTAAGTTAAGTGCATGCGCCTTCATATTCAATATTAGCAGAGGAAATTCCAAATCCGTGCCAGGTATTCATATTCAATATAGTGGCCAGGATGCACGTCCACAACCTCAAGAAAAGTGCAACTGATAAATCATTTTCTTTTTTCTTTCTCCAGAAAGTGCTACTACTAGTAGTCTACTAGTGGTTATACCTTTTTGAAGATACCCGTCTTTTTGCAACGCTTTTATTTGTGACGTGGCATTAAAATATTTGCTTTCTGCGCCGCATTTCTATCTAATAACTGGATCGCAACGTTCTAGTCAATGGACAAATTCCTCAGTACCGTACCTTCTGGATTTATGCTTATCTGATCCTTTTTCATTATTCCTCTGAAGAAACTCATGCTGGATCGGAGACTTGATGATGGGCATGAAATGGGCGGGTCATGGGGTCGTCTAGCAGGTCGGGCATAGCAGCATGGGCGCTAGGAGCTTTTTTTTGGACCATAAAGAGCCAGCCTTCTTCAACTTGGAGCCCGGCCCTTCTTTTATCCCGTCGCTCTCCCGCCCACTTGCATGCACTCCGTTGGGATTGGGAAACGCAGCTATATCTCAATCTGGGCACAGAAAATCGAGAACCGAGAATCAAACCGAACTAACCGAAATTGAAACCGAAATAACCGAAACCGAAATATTCGGTCCCAGGTTCGGTTCTAGGTTCCCAGAAACCAAAATTTTGGTTCCAGCACTCGGTTAACCGAATTGACCTGAAATAACCGAACTATATAAAGGCCCCTAGAATACAGACTTGAATATTGCTCTATGCTTGAATATTTGAGAGAACAATAACATATATATGTTGTACTGTTATTTTATGCTGCATTGCTGTTTAAATTGTCCCTTTTGACTGCATGAAAATCAGGCAAAATGCTGCTGAAATTTGCAATTGAATGGGTTGTTTCTTTGTTCCTGAAAAATTTGGTTCCATCGGTTAGAACCGAAACCGAACCGAATTACCCGAAACCGAAATTCCTCGGTTCCGCATTTTCAAAGTAACCGATCGGTCCCTTCTTCTCAGGTAACCGAA